TCTAATAGTTCACTTTTCTGGTTTCTTCACTTTTTCTTGTAATCCAGAACCAGTTTTCAATTGCTTTTGTCTAAGTTTGCTTTTACCTTTTGATCCCCTTCTAACTTTCCCCTGTTTGTAAGAATCAGAACCACAGTGCCTTCCTAAGAAATCCTGGGGTCCTTGAGACAAGTCATTATCCTTAGTGCTCTCTGCTTGGAAAATCCCGACCCCATTCAAGCCTGCCTTAAGCAGAGTCACAGGACACTGAATTAACTAGCTAGCCTTCAGTTTGGAATTTGCTGACCCCCATTTTTTGCCTCTTGTAACTTTGCTGCTATATTCACATAATGCCACAAGATGGTGCCCAAATAGCAGTGAATTTCTCTTTTTCACGTTTCCAAGTGCCAGTCAGCTTCCTGACCAAGTTCTTTGCCCTTAAAGTACAGTCAAATAGAGTATAGGAATTTTGTAAGGGATTCTGCTGATTTGGAAAGATAGGTCAAAATAGCAAGTGTTAACTCTAAACTCACTTTGATTTCTGTAATCCCCTTGGTTTATGACTTGCAAAATCTTTTGCAGACGTTGTCTGAAATAATAGCCCTTGGAAGGAAGCACTTAGGCTTATCATCTGCATTCTGTGGTGTCAAGATCAATGACTAGCCATGAAATGAGCACTGGTATTGTGGCACCTAGTGAAGTGCTCAGACCACCAAACCGTGTATGGTCTGTATTTTCTCAGGTCTTAGTGAAAGGAAATGAAATGAATTTCATTTCTTAAATGAAAACCAAGCATCTATGTTAAAAATTGAAGACAGATTGCCCAGATTTGTGCATTTTTTGTTTTTAGAAATAGTCCTTAGTTTGCTTCCATTATATGTGGTCATTTTTCCATGTTGAGATGGTGTATTCCAGAAAATTTCTGGCTCCTGAAAGTGCTCTGAAAATAGTGAAATTTGGTTTGCCTCAGAAATATTGTTCCATGAGATTATAGTAGGGAGATATGACTAAAGCCCCTGTGGCTGCCATTTTCATTTGAGCAAGAAGGTAAAAGAAGGATATTGAAACGTATTTTTGACGCCTATTGAATTACTTGTAAAGATCAGTAAGCTGGGAATAATGCACAGTTATATTGGAACAGTAACACAATTGAGAAATAGAATTAAAATAAATACGTTGTCAGCAAGACTAGAATCTGCATCCTGCTAGATTCTCACTAATTCCATATAGCTTTTATTCTCTAGGCCCAGATCTTTTTCTGTTATAGAGTAATAGTAACGTTGTTTTCACTTACAAAGCCCATGGAAAGTTAAAGTTCTTAACTCTGGAATTAGGTAAGAGAAGACCAGGAAATCCAGCTGTTTCATGATTAAAATTTGCCTTGTAATTTGGATTATGGGAAAGTCACTGGTTATATGAAGTAGACTACCACTTTTAACACTGCTCTTATTTATAGAGAGAAAACGGTTGGAAGCCAAGCAACGGGAAGACATCTGGGAAGGCAGAGACCAATCTGCAGTTTGAACATCACTCAATGAAGGGGATAATCCCATGAATTCAGAAAATATTTCCATAGTCTTCAGATAAGAGGATGCTTCCAGAGCTCTGTGTACATGCAAATGTGCATGTTAGTGAAAGAAAGAGATAAAACAATCAAGACAAGGATTGACTGGGTATAGAAAGAAGATGGACTCCTGTCTGTCTTCACTCCTAAATGCAATTCTTTGGAATCACTTTCCTGTTTTGGGCATAGAAAGGAGCCATCAGCTAGGAAGAAACATGGAAGATGTGACTTCCAAGAGTCATCTGGACAGGGCAAGTCGTGTTAGCATGGGTCCCACTTCCAAGATGTTTTAAGCAAATACAACAGAGGATTCAAACCTGCGCTGATGGGAGATTCAGGCCCTGCAAGGGCAGGGTGTTCCTTAGTACCTCACAAAACTGAGAACAGCAATATTGAGGGGGAGAAGGGGGCACAGTTAGTACAAAGAGACAGAACAGTGTCTGGTGTACTTGGTATTCACAGAATCTACACTGCCAGTTTCAGAACTCCACAGTTGGTGAACTGTAGCAGATATTTGGACTCCAGAGTTTGTACTGAGCTGAGTGCCTGGGGCTGCTCCAGCTGCACAGCAGCCAGGGGCATGGCAGCTTCATTCCTCCTAGGAAGCCAGTCTTGGGAGCTGCCTGCCAGTTCCAGTTTAAGCAGTACTGGATGTTGTATGAGGGAGATATTAAAGCCCATTTTATGACATATATCACTCTGGTATTTGTCAATTTTATTATTCCTACAAAGAAACTGGAGAGCAGCTCTCCTTGAATCTTCATTCCTGTAATTCTGTGCATGAGTTCAGCGGATCTGTTGGTTTTATTGAACCCCACTGAATAGAGAGCTGATCATCTCTCTGCCCTAGAATATACTATAAAGTGCCTCTCCTGGAATTGGCATGTGGCAGCTCCTCTCCCCTTCTTGGCCTCTTTATGCACCCGGACTCCACCCTCTTGCCTTTTCCCATTTCTGTCAAATGTGACATCCTGCAGAGGGCATCTGTCACACAGCATGTTCTTGGTATGATCTTCTCAGCCTGTGCCAGAGGCACTGGGCAAGAAGCTCCAGCTCATCCATTACAGCGAAGAGCAGCCAGGATAAGACACCACCTCCGAGTAGTGAGAGGTTCCCTAAAGGACACGACAAGTCAGAGCCATCAGCTCGGGCTTTATCCATCTCATATGTGTATTCTCAGTGCTTTTGGAAAGTAGTTCTACACTGAAGAAACGGTAATGCCAGAACTTAGATGCTGAAGTAGCAAGAAACAGTGTCTCATTGTGCTTTCACCATGGGCAGTAGCCTCTTTTTTGTGTAATTTAGTGCCCATGACAATGATGGATTATTAGCATCGCCTAGACCGTGGTGGGGTGGGCCTCTGTTCACACGTTCCTCAGATGACACTGGCCTTGGGTCTTGGTCCTGGCCCAGCTGTCCCTGCTGCTATTCTGGTCTGAGAGCCCGCCAGCAGTTCCTCAGCATCGTCTTCTCATTCTTGCTCGGTTCTGAAAGTGTCCCTTGTTCGTGTTCAGCGCCTCCATTCCACGTTTGAGGGATTAAATACGTCCTTCTCCTGACCTTCGGTCCCAGATGACTTAGGCCAGTGCCCCTCTCTTTGGCTGCTAGCTGCAGGATTGTGCTGTCTGTCTTCAGAGAGCAGACTTCTCTAAGATGGGCAGGTCTGTTTGAACTGTACAGCTGCATTTGAAAGGAAATGCAGGGAGCCGGAGCCAGGCTTCATTCTGAGTGGTAGACCTCGGAGGCACACCGTTGCTCTGTTTTGCTGCTTCAAGGCTGAGAATGACCTTGGGCAGTAAAAAAGAGATGATTGCCCCTATTACTTGCCTTTGAGGGTGTTTCCCCCTTCTGACAGCATTTTAACTTTTAAAGGCATTGTTAATGGTAACATATAGCCCCACGTTTATTACTCAGCTTTTTTTGTAGTCCTCGTAATTTCTGGAAGTTACTTGTGTTCTCAATCTAATGCTGTGTACTAAGTGGCTAGTAGCTTAGGCTTTTTTTCAGCTAACAGTCAGCCACCTCTAACTTTCAGTCTTATCCTTATAACCAGACCCAGAGAAGGGATTTTTTTTAGCCAATACTGAAATCTGTGGAGTGCTGCTACATCTACGGTTAGTAGAAAATATGCTTTTGAGTTAGATTTTTCTGGTGATTGGAATTGATGTGTACTGGCTGGAGGTAAGATGGCCTGCCGTGGCCCAGCACGGACTACATTGAGCTTGCCCAGATGGGAGTCAAATCCTTGGCCATATCTAAGCCATGCCTTCATAAGCTGAGCTAACTGGAGAGCACCCTGTAGCTGCAGCTGACTCCTTTTCAGGTATTCGAGAAGACAGTTAACGCACTCTGCTGTGCATACGTGTCTGAATCCTAGGATCACCTGGACTTTATAGTAGAAAGGTACACTCCCCTTCAATTCTGATATGCTCCCTGTAGAGTGAAGGTCTTTGTGGAATAGAAATACCTTAGGCTTCTGCCTAGTAAGTTGAGGTTCCCAGCACTTTAGTTTCTCTGAGACTAAAGTATGCCGAGGTGAAAAATCTTCTCACATTTTTGGTTCTGTCTGGAATTTGGTGGTTGGTATTCTGTTAACATTCCTCATCTAGTTACAAGTCATGCCAGCCACCAGTCTTCCCATGTCCTTCCCTTTCAACTCAGACGTGTAACAGCACTACCCTTGTGTAGTTTTTTCCAAGAATTAGAACTGGCTGCACCTATCAAACTTGTGATGTGGGCAGCAAGGCTGAGACCAGAGCTGGTGGCTGGCTGCCTGGCCTGCTTTTTTCTGGCCCTCTTGGAAACTGGATCCAGCAAGAAGCTGTGGGTAGCCTCCCTGCCTGAATCTAGTCATCAGTCACCACACGCTGCACATTCTTTCACAGACCATTAGCTGCATGTGCGAGTATAATGTTGTTACTGTTTGGGAGATGTTTGCTAGATCCAACAGGAAATCAGTCCTTCCCTTGTTTACCTAAACTGCCATGCCAAAATATAATGCTCCCTCTGCCTAATGAAGGAGATGAAGGAGTTGAGAAGAGAGAAGGTAGAGGAGAAGGAAGAAAGCACTTCTTTGTGTTCTTAGAGGATACCCCAGAGCTTCTGACTTCCTATGGAGGGGGTAGCTGTTGTGATGTGGGAGGGGAGTACTTTTGTAAATCGGCCCCATCTGCTACCCTTCCTTTTGGCTTTGCAGCCTCAGTTATAAACATTTACAATCCTTGGACTTCACCTGCTTGCCTCCTGCCTTTCATTGGAAAGGTTAAGTCCAGCCCATGTTTTAGCATTGAGCCTGGGGAGGAATTGGGAAGCAGACCGAAGGCTGCTATCTGATCAGAGAAATGTAGGGGGCTGTTGTGAGTACTGTGTGGGCCCCACACATCCTAGCCACCAGCTCAGCGGGTGGGCCAAGGGGTAAAGCTACTGTGCTGGGAACTGCAAAGAATCATAGCTGGTCTTATCTTTGTAGCAGTCCATAGTGAGCAACCTTTATTGGCATTAGGATGTCAGACCTGTAAGGATCATCTTTTAAGGTGTCTAAGTGGAATAAAAATTAAGAATCATGTCCAAGAAGATCATGGGATTTTAGTATGAGTAAGAGCATATCACAGCCACATCAAGCAGGGAGGGGGCCTTTCCTAGGTTTAGTCCTTAACTAAATGAAATGTCCCCCTCTGACTTATCCCTAGTCTCCTGTCCTCCACTCTACCAGACCTGTCTTATTCCTACAGACATGAGTGGCTTGTTTCACCGATGTTCTTTCCATTGCAAAAACTTATTTACTGCAAAGTTCACTCCAGAAACTTGGTTGAGACCTGAAATTTAGGCCAGTCCTGAGAAGCACAGTGATCTTGAGGGAGACTGGATTGCCTGCCAGGTACATGGCATGTATTTTTCCTTGGCAGAGGCCCTAGCAGGGGCTGGAGTCCATATTACCCCAGCAGTCTTTCTGCTTGGCCTTCTCTTGCTGCTCTGCAGGAAGGCCCATCTGGCCACTTCTGTGAATCTTGCCCCTTCTCAAGCACTCAGTAACTGGTGGTATTGGCCCATCAGGACATAAGGGGATGCCTGAGGCCTAAGCTTCCAGGGATATTAGAAACACCCATATGTGTGGTAGGATAAAGGTAAGGGAATTAAAGAACAGACTCTTAGAGAGTATGACAGGTGAGTTCTAAATGAGGACAGATCAAGCAAGGTACTGAATTCACCAACTTCTCTGTCCGTTGCGACTTTGACACAAGTTGTATTGCTTTGAGCTCCTTGCAGGGAGCTAACCCCACCGCCTGTGTATTTTGGTCTTTTGTCTTCTACTCCTCCAAGACATTTGCAAAGCACCATTTAAATGGGGGACTGGGCCACAGTCCATCCCTAAGGAGCTGATTGCTCCTGAACCAGGAACTCTGGGGCAAGATCCAGGAAAGACTGGGTGTCCTTATGGAAGAGGAGCTCAGCTGAGCAAAGCCTGGAGGCCACAGTCCATAGACCAAAGACCTTGAGGGGACAGGTCCAGAGCCATCCTGAGGGAGCAGTACCATCCTGGTTTGGTGAATTGCCATCAAAAGGCTTCCTGAGCAGGTTCTTGGTGCCCTTTGGCACTGGCCCCTTTCCCTCTGAGCTAGGGCTCTGTGAAGGGCATGGCTCCAATAAGCTGAGGTATCTGGTGTGTGGGCAGCAGCTGGGAGTGTGCAGTGATGGCTTCAGATGAGGTTGTTCCTGAGGCGCTGCTCCTGCTCCAGGAAGAGCTCTGCATTGGCTCGGTATGAATCTCCTGTGGGCCAAAGGGAAACAAGTAAGTAGCCAACCCCACCATGGTCTCATCCCTTCCCAGACAACTTCACAAACACACAGATCCATTCTGCCCAGCTCATCTTTTACCTCAGGTCAGTCAAGGGCACAGAGCCCAGTCCGTTCTATAGAGATAGACCCGAGAGGTGTGCACTTTCAGGGGTGTCAGGAAGAATAGGCTATTGAGTGGGAAGGGTTGTGCTGGTTACTTTCCTTTGCCCCCTCTCCAGATTTATTCTGTACCCTCCTTTGTCCTCTCTGTGCCCTGGAGAACTGGCCCCTAGAGATTGTCTCACCCTGGCTCGCTCATCCTCTGGTTTCTGGTTGATTTAGGTCAGTGGAAACAATAGCAAGAGATGAGAGGGCGGAAGGAGAGAGCGATTGGGGTATTTCTTCCCCTGTTCTGGCAGTAATGGTCTCCTAGGACACCTTTTGCCCCTTGAAGCCTAAAAGGTGGAAAGCTTTCCACTCTTGCTTATCCCTGGATATCTCACACGCCTTGTTTCCTTAGTCTTGCACCTCTGTAAGTAGTCCTTTCATCACATAACCTTGGACTCTCATCCCAGTGTGCTGTCTGTGTTCTGTAAGGACCCTCCCAAGGGTCAGCACTGCATTACTTTCCTTTGGCTTCTCACTGTCCTGGGTCCCTTGCAGCCTGCTGCCAGCATTGTGGAGGATGCGCTGTCTCCCTGTGCGCAGCCCCAGATCCCACTTCCTGATTCTCCTTGCATTTCTCTCACTGGATGGCAGCAAAATGTACTCAGTCTGACAAACTTGAAACCGTAGATTATTTCTTCCTCCTCTTCCCATCTGTCTTCCATCTGCTGCCAGAGTTATCTCTTGAAAGCATAAATCTGATCTTTTTGTCCCCCTTGACTGAAATTTGTCGGTGGTTCCCAGAAGTCCACAGGATAGCAAGAACCATCATAACCCTCCCTGCAAAAAGCATGAGTGGGTTTGAAGTACAGAGCCCTGTTTTACAAAAGAGAAAACTTCTGAGGTTGAGATTTCCTCCCTGTCTCACAGCTAGAAAGCGGTGGATTTGGATTTGGAACCCAGTGAAGCCTCCTAGAGCCACATCCTGTGCTCCTTCTACTCCTCGCTTCTCTGACTCTGCCCCTCCTCTGAAACCCAGCCCAAACATCACTTCCTCTGGAAGACCTGTGCTAGCCTCTAGGTTGTCGCTTTCTCTCTGCGTGCTCAGCATTTAGTTCATACCGGTCTGGGGTACTCAGCAGTATTGGGGTTATCCATTTGCATGTCTACTTACTCTAGACACTGAGCTCCCCAGCTTACTCCCATTTATGTTCCTAGTGCCTGGCACCATGTTCGGCACAGAAGTAGTTCTTAATAAATGTTTGTTGACTGAGGGGACGGGTCTGCCCTGCCCCACCCCACATATGTAAGTGTGAGTGTGAACATGCACATCCCATAGCAAATCCAAGCATTTTCACACTTGAAGATAGAGGAATCGTGACCTTTCTTTATAAGTAAGTAGAGCAACCACCTCATCACTCTGCCTTCCCACCCCCCACCACTGGATCGTTGCTTCTTCCTTTGATACTGCCAATCCTGCAGGAAGGTCTCCTTCCTGCAAGCAGTCGTCACAGCTGGAGATAGGAACAGAGACCTGGGGGACTCCTACTTGTGCCTGTGAGGCAGTCAGCTTAGGATGGAGGCAGCTAAGAAAGACCATATGAAAAGGAGAGGAAAATTAACAGACTGGAAAAGGAAAATCCTGACATGGCTTGAAGTAAGGGGAAGGTTTCCAGGACAGATGCCAGACTGAGTCTACAATGCAAACAGCTTTAAGGACAAAGAGGGATGTAGAAGTAGGTATCGGATGAGGCTGACCGGCTGACCAGTTTGTTCTAGAACTCTGCCTGTGAAGATGTCAAAGGAAATTCATCTCTGTTCCATTCCTAGCCTTTTACACACATTCAGATCACACACAGCGGTACATTTGGAGTCTTCCAGCCCCCCCGAGCCCACAGCGGGCTGGCCCCACCGTGGCTTGCAGTTACCTGTGTGGCAGTTGTGCAGCCAGACTCGTTGCCCATCATACTTGCAGCGGCACCGCATCATGTTGTTGGAGAAATCGGACTCTGCCACCTCGTTTTTGGGGTTCACAACTACCTGGAGTGAGAGAAGGGGACAACTGAAAACAGGCAGTTGGCTTTGGAGCGAGCTGATAGTGGCTAATAATCCTTTACATTTCATGTAGACTTGTACAGTGTGTCTATATTCTTTGCTTCATTAATCCTTACAGTCACCCCCAGAAGGTAGAAATTAATGTCCCTATTTGCAGGTGGGGACTGAAGTCACAACTGACAATTGTCACGACTCAAACCTAGGTCCTCTGGATCCTGATTTGGTGTTCTTTCCCCTCTACCAAACATAGCTCCTTCAAGTGATAGACCTGTTGAATGAAACTCCTCCTTTGTTTGACCTTGGTAGCTTTGGGAACATCTGGAGGAAATGGAGTCCCTGTGAGGAATCCCCACAAGCCCCCTTACCTGGAAGATATAATCCCCAGGGCCCACGTCTGTGATGTCCACCCACTGGCAATCAATGTCATGTCGGTAGGTGTCCCAGCAGCCAACTGTCACTCCCTGTTCCCCAAAGTTGGCACACGCATAGCGCCGCTGCAGTCCTGCAAGGAAGGGTGCTGACAATTACTGAGGCGCCGAGTAGGTACTAGGGACCAAGCACTCTGCTAGGTCTTTCATATATTTATCAGGTAATCCTCACACCAGCCTTACCAGTTACATGCAATCAGATTAGGGACCTGAGGTTCAGTTAAATAACTTGCCTGAGTATCAGAGCCAGAATTCCTACTAACGATGAATCCGGCATTGTAGCAAACCCCGTCTGTGACAGAGATCGTTACTTTGGATGCTCTAATGGAAATCCCTGTTTGCCTAGGAAATGTGGTTGGAAGATTCCAGCCCTGCTGTGCTAATACATTTGTCCATCCATGCAACCCTCTGAAGAGCCAGTGTTTACCATGCCATTGCCAAGGGCTAGGAAATGTGGGTATGCAGATGAGAATGAGACAATCCATCCCCTCAAAGAACTTGGCAGAGATAAAACAGGTCTACAACTGTTACCCAAAATAGAAAGTGTTAAGCATTTTAAAACTGGCACAAAGTATGTTGGGAATGCAGAGAAAGCAGAGACCTTATACCTAAGATTTCAGAAGGTAAAAAATTGATCTCTTTGAATTGCCTTGAGTGCTGGCTGTTGTCAGGCCAGAGTCTCCAGGTGCCTGAGACTGTTGAGCAAGACAGGGGAACCTGACCCCAAAGGGGCCAAGGAATATAACACGAGGAGGATATGCTGACAGGAAACCACGTACCTGTGGGGCAGTTTGTGTCCTCTAGACAGAAGCTGGCCTTGTGCCCTTCAGCCACCTTGGAGCCATTAAGAGTGAGTAGGTCATAGTGGGTGAAGACCTCAATGCTGTGGTAGTGCCTGCAGAAGGAGCAGAGCTGTCAGCTTCGCAGCAATGAGAGAGGGTCCTCTCTGGAGGAGTTGGCAGGGAAGACCGAGGCACTAGGCCCCATCATTACCCAGAGAGGAACGTCATAATAGCAGGGCGTGCCCTTCTCCCTTCCAAACCCAACATTAGTATGACCCGTGGCCTGCTCTTCTGGCACCCCTGCCAGGCAGCAAGGCACAGCTGCCCCCATCACCTAGGGTCTTAACCCAGGTGAGGAGAGGTGATGCTCTGCCCTGGTAGCCTCCTGCAGGTTGGTGCCTGGCTGCAAGGCCTGAACCAGATGTGAAAGAAGGGGCACTTCTAGGGACCAGCCTAGGAGCCGAGCTGCTGAGGAGGGCGCTTCCCCTGCTCCCTGTCAGCCTGGGACCAAATTGCTACCGTTGTTTCCTATCCTGTAATGACAACTCTGTTCATGCTACAGGGAAAGGTGCTTATTATCTCAGGCAAGGCCAAGTCCCAAAGTCGCTGCCCATTCCTCTCAGCTTCCCCCACCCACAGCTGTGTCTTGAAAGAAAAAACACATTTTTCCATTCTGCCTTTGTCACAGGCATTGTCTCTCCTGTCTGGGCTGGAGATGTCTGGCAGGAAAGAATGCTCATTGTTCCCTTTTGGTACCAGTGTTCATGCTATTCTTTGGGGACCTTGCTTTGCTGCTGCAGAAACTAGCAAGCTTTTTCTGCAGAGCCAGCATCCTGGATGTATTTTGGGACTCCAGGCTTCTAGGAGTCCTCCATTTACCTGGCTTTTCCAACACAGAAAAGTTGTCCAATATCATTTTAACAGAGACCAGCTCTGCTGGCAGTGACTGCTCTGTTGGATATCACTGTGGGAAATGGAGGAATGGACTCCACGAGCACCATCAACATGGTCCATCCTGGGCAGGTGAGGGAGTGATGGAGATGGCAGGTTGATCTCCTGGGATTCTCTATTGCCTCCCGGAGGCAAGGCCAGTAAGGCAGCTAGGACGGAAGGCTCTCACCCAGCGCACACAGCCCTCCTGGGAAACTTTGCCTGGGGCCAAGGAAAGACCAGACTGGTTTGGTCCCTGGACCCTGTTTTTTGTCCCTCTAGAACCAAGGCAGGAGCAGGCACTAACCTGTGGCACTGGTGCCAAATCCAGCCATGGCGTCCTGTCTTGGGACGAAAGTCAGCCCGGCCCAGGTTGTGGATCTGTGAGGAGAAGCGCAACAGGCGCCGGTGTCCGTAGGGCCACTCCATGCGGTCAGCGGACTGGGAGAGGCAGTTCTCCTCGTGCGCACAGTACAGTAGGCTGAGCGGGCGGTCCTCCAAGTAGGCTGTCTCCTGCACTAGTTGGGCGTTCATCACGAGGTCTGGAGCACCTGGGTCACAGGAAGCATGGCAGGGATGCAAAAGGTAGAAGACAGCTGTGTTTGCTCTCTGGCCAGGAGTCCAGACTTGCCCCCAGACCAAGCTCTTTTGGAGCACCCCAGAAGAGGAGGGCGGTTTATGAGCCAGAAGACATGAGTTCTAATCATAAGGAATGATCTGTTGCCTTAACCCGGGAGGCAGCTAAAGTGTCACAGTTAAGCTTGCTGGCATTGGAGCCAAGCCGCCTGGCTTCATGTCTTGGCTTAATTTCTGACTGCATCAACTAGCTCTGTGACTTGCTTAGCCTTTTTGTCTCTCATTTTCCTCATCTTTAAGATGGGGATGATGATAATATTAATGTGATCATACCTGTAACATGCTTAGATCATTATCTGGCCCGATGTAAGCATGCAATTGATGTAAGCTAGTATTTCTTTTGTAAAGTGGTTCTCAGCCTCTAAGTGCCATTGTGGAGCCTGCCTCTGTAAGCTCTGCTAATGTCTAACTTGGTTACCTCAGCTCAGTCACTCTCTTTCCCTGGGCCTCAGTTCCTTCAGTGTAAGGCAGGGGAGGAGCTGGGAGGGAGAGCTGGAAGACTGATCTCCAAGCCTGCTCCTGAGCTCTGCCGTTCTAGTCCATTCTGCTGCAGTTTCTAGGCCTGTGCTTCCTCCAAGTTTCCTGTTCTAACCTGATTGTGATCATGGGCATTCATACCAGGGTATCCTGTGCATTCTCTGAGGCATCATGGACTCTTGGTGCTTCTCTGCATAAAAATCCAACATGCTGGAGCCTGTGTCTCAACAGGCTGCTCAGTGCCTCTCCCATTCCCTTCCTGTGACGGGCTCTTACCCTCCTCAGAAGCCACATGCCTCCTCTACCATTGCTAGCCCGCGTGTGTCAGCATGGAAATGTAGAGATCTGCAGCTGTTGCCATGTAACATCAAGAGAGAGAAGTTGCCCATTCTCAATGCTTGTTGGTGCAAAAACAGGGTGACAGTACAGACTTGTGGCAGAGGCATCATGGGTGAGTGAGCCTGAGTGCTGACAACAGTGAGGTGAGGACCCTGGTTGACTTCAGTGGATGGGCACTGAGGGTGGGAGCAGGGCTTGGCTGGTTTGCTGTATGATACCTGTGCTATCACCAAATGCTCTCGAAATTCCTGTGGTATGTTTTGGAGAGAGCCAGGGTGTGCCAACCGACAAACCCTAGAGTTCCTGTGGAAAAGGAGAGCTTTCAGAGGGAATGAGAAGAACAGAGAATGAAGGAAAGAAAGACATGAGAAAAACCACAGAGGAGAAATAGGGATGGCCAGAGAGGGGGCAGGACGGCTCTCTGCTCAGCCATTGTGAAGCGTCAAATTCGTTTAGGAGGAGAGCTGCCACTCCAGGCGGTAGAACAGGGAAGGGTACATGGCTCCCAGGAGGCAGAGCAGGCCCCCAGTGTGCTGTGAGCCTTGGTGCTGGGAAGGCCCACCTGATGCCCCGTTAGCCTGCAGGAGAGGGTGTGCTGTAAGGGCCCTGTGCTCTTCCAAGGTGCACTGGACAGAGAGGAAGTCCTAAAGCTTGCTGACAAAGGTTAAGGATGTCTTGGCATTGAGGCTTGGCTGGGAAGAAGGTCAAGTGGCTACTAGGCTTGGTGCTAGCCTGCAGCCTTTGGACGAGATATAGTTATCTTGGCACAGACCTGGTTGGCAGATGTCAAACAGATGCTGCTGTCCCAAGAATCTGGGTTTGTGGGGCAGACCGATGCCTCAAAGTGGTCTTGTTCTAAAGCCTTTGGGGAAAATCCCACAGCTCAGGAGAACACACAGCAGAGCCTTATGCCCCATGTGTCCTCACACTTATAACCCTTTACAACAGCCTTCAAACTCTTTTCTTACTAAAACCACAGTAAAAAATAATGTATTTTATGTTGTGACCTTGTACATACATTCATAATTCCAAGAAAAAAATACTACCCGTACTGAATGTAACACGTTCTGTTGTTTTCTATTCTGTTTCTTTTTTTTTTTTTAACTATTGGTCATGACATGAAAATTGAAAAACACTGTTGTACAGCCTTGTGTTTTCACATATTCCCTGGTTTAATTCTCACAATAACTCTGTGAGATAGGCAGGGCGGGGTTTGCATCCCCCTGTGACACACACAGCTGGAAGGGCAGAGCTGGTCCTCCAAGTCCTGCTCTCCTTCTCCTCCTCCCCATCAGCCTTGGAGCTGGGACCAGTACTTGGGGCCCTCCCTGAGGACAGGAGGTATAGGTTTGCCAAATTGGGGGAGCCCATGCTTGCCTGTCCCCAGGCCCCGTGGGCCTCCCGTTACTCACTGTCTGTGCAGGAGACTCCGGCTGAGAAGCGCCCTGTGCCATGGGAGCAGTGCACCGGCCCATGCCTTTGACACTGCTGCAGGGCCAGCTCTGTGCCTGAGCAGCGCACCCCACTCATCACCACTTCTCCGGCCCCTGGCGTCCCCTGCCAGTACCAGGTGTCCTAAGGAAACAGCCAATGTCACCCAGTTAGGGCTGAGAGGAGCCTTTGGAGTCATCTCCCCTGACCCCCAGCTGAAGCTAGGACCCCATCAGACCACCCCCACCAGGCTGTGCCCAGCCTAGGCCTGAAAAGCTGTAGTGATGGGATAGTCCATGCCAATTTGGACCCCTGTGATATTAGAAATTTCTTCCATGTATTGAGGCCAAAGTCTGCTGCCTGTGGCCTCTACCACTGGCCCTGCCCCCTCACTCTCCCATAATTTGAAGAGGATGCTCCTGTTCCCTTCCTGTCCACCCAGGTGGCCTGTCCCATTTCACCAGCTGTTCCTCATAAAGCCCCAGATGGTCGGCTGCGCCCACAGTTGAGCCCAGTTCTCCAGGTGAGGTGTGCCAGCATTGCCCGGCAGGCTAGTACAAGCTCAGTTGAAGAGGTTTCTCCATTGCACCCATGCCCAAGGCCTCTTGATGTTGTTTCCTTGATATCTTTTGAGTCCATCCACTTATTCCCCAGGACTGCCGCTAGCCTGGCCCCAGCCAGAATCATTCTCACCTTGGCCACTACAACAGTGTTTCTCTGTATTCACATTAGTCTCCATCCCAACTACCAAACAGCAAGAAGAAATCTTTTAAAAATCTGGATTGCAGCCTTTGAACGGTCTTGCCGCTGCCCTCCTTCTCCACCCTCACACTTCACACCACTTGCCCTTGATAGCCACACTCCACCTTTGGTCCCTGATTTCCTCAACTGAATCAAGTTTCCTTTGGCCACAGGGTTTTTGCATGGGCTGTTTCTTCCTCTGCCCATCTCATCTGGCTAACTTCAATTCATCTTTCCCATAGACACAATTATGTGCCTGTCGTGTGAACGTTTTATTAATGACTGCCTCCCTCACTTGAGTGACTCCTTGGTGAGACAGGAACTATGTCTTTTGTTCACCACAGTATCCTCAGCACCTAGCATTATACTGGCCCATAGTTTCACTCAATAATTAATTGTTGAATGAATGAATGAAGGGTTAGCAGCTTTAGCACAGGAAGTTTTGGATCAAGACAGGGACCTACCTTGATGGCGTGGTTGGCAAAACCCAGGCCAAGCTGTCGGCAGGCCACCATGGCTTCGGTGAGCCCCCAGTGGTCACTGCACACGGACCCCCAGCGTCGGACCCCGTTCACCTCCACCTGCACCTCCACCACACCCTCTGCAGGGCTGCGCCCACCAGCCAAGCGCACCTGCAATGGTCAGAGATGTGTGAGGAGCGGGGCGGCCTTAGGAGGGGAGAGCTCAGGACTGCCAGCCCTGAGACCTGCCCAGGCCAGTTCACCGCGTGGCCCTGGAGACAAACCCTTCTCTGAGTTTTTCCCCTTCTCTGTAACTCGAGGGCATTTACTAGATAGTCTCTAACGCCGCTGCCCGCTAGAGAAATCTGACTCTATGTGCCTGCACCCGGGGCCCCTGCTCCGGTACTCGCCATCCTCCTCCTGAAGTCATCCCATTTACATGACCTTAGGAGACAGTTAACACCATTTCATGAAAGAGAGAACCAAGTTCAGAAACATGAGTGACTTGCCCACAGTCCACGGTAGCACGACACTTGAACTCTGACCATCCCATGCAGCCTCTCCAATGCCACACTGCCCATTACTGACAGTCCTGTGGTCCCCTGCCCCAGGGACCTTCTTTCTCAACTTCACAGGGGACCCAAGAGGGTGTGGTGGGGGAGTGCATCCACCTGAAGTGTCCCTTTGCCTTCTGACATCTCTGGAGGCCAGCACCTGGCCCTGGGGGATGTGGGCCAGGCCGGGGGAGACTCAGAGGGAGGACAGGGCTTTCCAGGCTGGCTCCGAGGGACAGCAGAAGTGCCAGCTGCCTCTCATGAATCCCTCCCCACTGGCTCAAGGCTGTGTCCTAGGGCTATCTCAGGGCTCCCCCAGCCCCCAGTGTGAGGCCATGCGCAGACCTGAGCTCACCTGATTCTGGAAGCCCATGTTAGGGATGTTGCACCTGACAGCAGCATCATTCTCATGTTGGCAACCATTCTTGGACCCTTCCAGGGAGGGGCAGTCACTTAAGGTTCGTTCATATCCTCTGCAGCGCACCTCACTCAGGTGGATGGGCCCCAGCCCTACAGGGAGAGGGAGAGAGGTGCCATGTTATGCTCCACTTCTGTAGCCCCACACCTGTGGCTTCCTCTCCCCAGAGGGGGGATCTTCTGACCTGGGCTCTGGCACCCCAGAGCCACCAAAAGATGGACCAGTGGCACATCCAAGCCCTCCCACCCCACCCCAGGCCTCCTCACTCACCTTGGCCCAGCCGTGCCCCAAAGAGGACCTCTCGAGCAGAGCCGAAGCCAAGCTCACGGCACACAACACTGGCGGAGATGAGGTTCCACCCATGGTCACAGACTGTACCCCACTGGCGGTTCATGAGCACTTCCACCCGGCCCTCGCCCACCTGGGCCCCAGAGCGGAGGCGCACCCTCGTCTCCTGCTGGGAGAAAATCACCTTCAGGGAGGGCTGAGGAGGGGGCAGGGGCTGAGCCACTGCAGAGGGAGCTCAGGCAGGGCCCCATCCAGCTGGGCAGAGCCAATGACTGGAGTTCCAGTCCCATCTCTGACTGCTGATAGCTATTACCTTGAATAAACCATTTTCCTCAATCTCCCTTTCTTCAATGACCAAGAACCGCGACAGTAATAATAGTAATAACCAATTCCAGCTCTAATGAAAGTCTTAGGAGTTGAGGTCCCTGGGCTTCACAACCCTCCTACTCTAGGCCAGTCACTCCCTCTCCGCCTGCCCTGGCTTCTTTGTTCTTTGGGGTTGAACTAGATCAGCTGTTCCCAAAGAGATCTGTGGGATGATTTTAAAGACGTGCAGGGATGTGGTGTTAATTAAACTGATTCACGCAGTGGGGAAGTTATTTCCATTTGCATTCTCTTCCATTCCTTCCTGTTTCATGGAGGAGACCATCTCACTGCGGTGCCGCCATGTCCACAACCCCTCACCAGCACCTGCTCGTTCGTTTTTATAACAAAGGGCCAGGCTCACGTGCAGTACCTTCTCCCCTCAGAGGGATGTAGATACAATGTAATTACTGTTTTTATAGTTACCTTCTATTCATGACCAGTGATGTCAGCTTTCTATTTATGGCAGGGTTATAAATGGTTCCTTTCAAATAAATTCCAAGATTCTACCATTCTGTGATTCGCTGTCCTCCTCCCAGTCTGAACTGATGCCTCCTGGATAGGGGTGCTTCCTCCCTCCTCTCCTGCCTGTCTTGAAGAGCGCCCCCCCCAACTGGGTAGGGTCCCGCTGAGATGGGGCCTGTGCCTCCAGGCCGGGGTGCAGGCCCCTGGAGACCCACCTCTGCCTGGGCCTCCTTGCGCCTGGGCTTTGCCTTCGGAGGGCGGAAGCGGGGCCCTGCTACACAGCTGACCACAGCGTGCATGCCACCTGGGCAGGCTGGCTGCAGCTTGCCCTTTGCTGGTGCCACCTGCACCTGGCAGTTGGCCATGTGGGGCTCTGTCCCCAGGCAGTTGACCCGGTGGATCCAGAAGGAATTCTTCTTTGTCAGGCTCTGCAGCCTGGAAGACAAGGGAGACTGAGGGTGGGGGAGGGTTTGAGGGAAGCACTCAGGACTCGGGAGACCAAGGCACTGGGGAAGGGAGGGGAGGGGAGGGGGTGCCACTCCTCACCTGGACGTGGGATCCTTCATCTTCGAATTCCAGACTTTCCTGTGGTGGGAGGAAGCAGGTAGGGAGTGGAGTGGGTGCAGAAGTCCCGCCCTTTGCCACCCTGGCTCTTCATAGTTGTCCTTGAGTTTGCACCAGACTTCACAGTTTGTAAACTCATTCACAAATCTTATTTCAATGCTGTGCTTCACAGCAGCCCTGACAGGGCGGCCACCTCACAGATAACAATGGTCTCCATTTTATAGGGAAGGAAAGGAGGGCATAGCAAGGTCCCTTGACTAGCCCCAAACTGCGGTCTCTTCTGCACTGGGCTGCCCCTGGGCAGGCAGCTCCAAGCTCACCCTCTCTCAGTCCAGATGAAGGGGAACCTTTAGCGAGCGCCCCAAGGGAAGGGGCCCAGGGGGAAGGTCCTCTGGGGACAGGTGGAAGTTGAAAGCCTTGCTGGCGGGGGCTGCCTACCCAGAGACACGACCTATAGGGACAGGCGGCTGTAATGAGGGCTGCCCTCCTCATGGGTGATGGGCAAGTCAGCCAGGTGCAGGTGTGCAATTACCAGGCGGTGGGGAACCAGGGGCCTGCCATCCCCATTGTCCCCAAGGACAGAGCCACGTGGCTGGCCTTAGGGACCAGGGTCATCTAAGTCCAGGACACAGGAAAGAGCAACTAAAACTGATTAGAGGTGGGCGAGGGCAGATGACTCAGATGTCCTTTGGGAGGCTTCTCCCTTGATGAGAAACATCCATGGTTTTCACTGACACAGAGCTGGTAGAACTGTGACTGGCCATCATTTACAGGCTGATGCAATCTTCTGACAGTTCTGTCACGTTTCCGACAATATTTTTATATTGCCTTTCCCAAATGCCGCCCTACCCCACTCCTTGCTTACATGCAATGCAGTCAAAGCCTGGCTTGGGTCAGAGTTGAGGAAATTCACTGGGGCAGAGTTGAGATGATTCCCTGGGGACTGGAAAATTGAGGCCCAGATGCCCTATGGATGCCCCACAGCTAGTTACTGGCAGAGCTGAGACCAGAACTCAGGCCATCTATCCTTGTGGGCACCGCTGTAAATATCTTCAGTAAAGTCTAGCTTTTTAATCAGGGTCACAGGTTTACATTCAATTGTTTTCATTTTGGGAGCATTCTGTACTATAGTCAATTCTTTTTAGATGATTGGCAAGCACAATGTTTATATTCTGACTGTTTCTAGGTATTTCCCAGGATCTTGAAGTTCATCCTCACTCTCTTAATTATTCTCAGGGACCTGTAACCCAGGGAATCCAGGCACATTCCTCAGTTGCGCCTGTTTCCCTCCCAATCCAGACACACTGAATGTCGTGCCATACACACCCACCCTGCCAATCTCACTGAGCTCTGCAGGGTCCACCTGTCACACACACATGTCACACACACACATGCGCACGTGCATACACACAATCACTGCCCCACAGCCCTGCCTCCCCCAGGTCCCCCTGCTTAGCCATCCTCCTACCTGTAGTAGTGGCTGTCGACAGGCGCGTCACTGGGGAAGCCCAGCATCCCGCACACCACCCTGCTGTTGTTCCTGGTCCAGCCCTGGTCACACACCTGCCGCCAGTGGCCCTCGTACCTCACCTCCAAGGCTCCCTCGGTGATGGGGCTACGTCGTTTGGCACTGGCAAGGATGGGCTTGAGCCGCACCTCCTCCAGCCGCTGGCCCTGCAGGGTACACCATCACTGTGGGCCCCAGGATTCCTGCCTCTGCTGAGCCCACTGCTGGTCTTCATGTGGGAAAGCTGGGGCTCAGAGCGCTTAGAGATCACCACCCCCCCCCAGCCCCCTCATTGGACAGGCCAGGAAACTGAGGCCCAGAGACGGGGAGAGATTCACTGAAGACCGAAGTGTGAGCATGAGGCAGAAGCTCAGTTTGTTTAGGGTCCTTTCCTTAACTCTGGAGAGAACCAGGCAGATCTGTGCCTTCCCTGGGGTCAGGATGGGAGCCCTTGGAGTTAGGGAGGCTTCCCTCGAGCATAGAGGGGCCTTCTTCATGCCACCCTGGGGAGAGCTGAGGATGGACCTCAGGCCAAGTACTTCAGGATCCTTTGGCCCACGAGACCCCCCTACTCTAGCCCTGGGGTGACTTAGACCAGTGCAGAGCTGCCCATCCTGGCCCACTGCATTTAGTGGGCCAGGGCCACTGTCCTCAGGCTGGGGCTGCCTGGCAGCAGAGGGTGGGAGCCAGAGACCTGCCCTGCCTGCTCCTGTTGTTTGGCTTGGGCTGTTTTTAGCTTGGGGTTGTTTGTGCCGGGAAGAGGCAGCAATTGTGGCTAGGCCTTGTGGGTGAGGCAGCCCCTTGTCCCCCTGCTGTCTCCTTTATTGGGAGCAGCTTCAGTGATTTCCAGCAGGCCCAGCCTATGATTCCCTGGTTTGCCCTGCCTCAAGTTGGGCCCTCTGTCCGCGCACCTGCTCCAGGCCACCAACAGGAGTCGGGGCCCAGGGATGCTTCTCAGCCCACACTCTGCTCCCTTTCCCCTCCCTCCTCCTCCAGGTTCATCCCCTGGAGGCTCTCTATCCCCTGACCCAACTCTCAGCTCAGGCCAGGGCCTGAACAGCCTCCTCACCTGGGGCCCGAGGGCATTGGAGACCTTTTCAGAAAGATAGCCTCGCTGGCGCTGGGGATGGCACACTACCCCGACGTCCTCCGAGTGGCTGCAGTCACTGACGCCCCAGCCATTAGACCCACACTGGTCCAGGGAGCTCTCTGTGCCCACACAGCGCACATTGTCCAGCCAGATTGGTCCTGTAGGGGAGGGGATGGGTGATGCTCAGGGACGGACCTGGAGAGGCAAGTCATAAGCTCCGCCTCCTGGATAGGACCCCACAGTTAGCAACTTTCCCCTTCCAAACCCTGAGTGGAAAGTCGGGGTTGGAGAGAGGAGTTGGTTCTCCTGGGATCTTGGCATCTACAACCCTGCCTGCTGCCTCCTCTTGGCATCAGGTCCTGTAGCAACTGTTTTTGGAAAGTGCCAGATCGGTCTTGTAATTAGACCTACGTGTTCACCCATTCATCCATCCATTCATTCACTCAACAATGCTTGGTGAGCACCTACTGTGTGTTAATTGCTACGTTCAAGGAACTTACAGTTGAGTGGTGGTGATGGTGGTGACCTCATTGCAAGCAAGAATGGGAGGGTTGAAGCAGGGATCATTTGTAGCTGGGGCACTCAGGAAGTGCCTCATGGAAGAGATAATTTGAGCTGGGTATTAAAAGATGGGCAAGAGGGGTGAGCTGGGTGGTGTAGTGGTTAAGTTTGCATGCTCCACTTCAGTGGCCCAGGGTTTGCAGGTTTGGATCCTGAGTGTGAACCTACGCACTACTCATCAAGCCATGCTGAGATGGCATCCCACATACAAAATAGAGGAAGATTGGCATAGATGTTAGCTCAGTGACAGTCTTCCTCAAGCAACAAAAGGGAGATTAACAACAGGTGTTAGCTCAGGGCCAATTTTCCTCACCAAAAAAAAAAAGATGGACAAGAGTCTGATGTATTCTGTTGAGCCTCAGTGAGCCCACTCCCTGAGAGAAGCCCACTGCTATCTCCTCACCATCCTGCTGGGCAGCACCCAGCACTCACCTTTCCCTGGGCCATACTTGGCACTGTGGGCCCAGGTCAAGGCAGACTCAAAGCCCAGTTGGCGGCAGGCCACCGTGGCCTCCTGGAGAGCGAAGTTGTCATCACACACGCTGCCCCACTGGCCCTGGTGCAGCACCTCCAGGCGGCCCTCCGCTGGCCTGCCCTCTGGGCCCACCAGCCGTAGCTTCATGGCGACCAGTGACTGTGGCCTGCTGGGAGGGGCCTGGCCCAGCAGCAGGAGCAGGAAGAGGGTGGCTGGTGGGGACCACATCATGGCGACTTCAAGGGCAACTGGAGCTCAGGCACCTGGAGAATGAGTGAACGTGACAGTGATCACTACCACTACCCTGACCTCAGGCTTCTTCTGCTGGCAGAGACAAAGGATGGCAGGGCCCTTGCAAGTGCATGTGTGTGTGTGTGACTGTGCATGTGTGTGTGGGGGCACTGATTGAGTCTGGGCTCTGAGATTAGTCGATCTGGTTCCAACCCACCATTCATTGGCCATGAGACCTTGAGGAAGTTTAAGATTAACCTTACTGAGTCTCGATCTCATCTGTAGCGTGGGAATCATAAATAAAATCCTTGTCTCACAGTGTCGTTGTGAGTGTTAAAACACTGCATGTAAAGTGCTTAGCACAAGTCTACCACGTGGTAAGCGCTCAACAAATGGCTATTCCTGAGACAGTCTTACATGTAGGAAGAGGGGATGGCCTACCCTTTGAGTCATAGGAGAGCCCCCAGGGGTGCCCTCAGGTCCAGAACATCTAGCCCAGGGGCATGGCCCTCCTGGTGTTCCCAGCACCGTGGCCTCCCTCCCCATGGAAGGCACACAGAATGCTGGAGCGGAAACAGCCATTTGCTGGGAGTCTAGGCCTCTGCTGCTCATTTGCCGTGTGGCTGGGGCAAGTCTCACACCTCGAGGTCCTGATCTCTTATTTCCAAAGTGAGGAGTTTGAAGCAAATACTGTCTAATTGAATCTCCTCCAGCCTGGGTGGTGTGTGATATCCTCGGGCTGTGCTCTAGGTCCATCGGGGGCAGGATTCGTACTCCGATTCAACCAACGTGTTTGGAATGCTTGCTTCAGGCTATTAGTAGGCCGGTACTGGGACACAGACCTGAAGACATGGAGCATTACTCCCTGCCTTCATGAAGCTCGGAGACGACGAATCAGGGAAGGCTCTCAGAGAAGGGACACTCAGCCCGGGCCTTGTCAGATGAAGAATTCGCCCCAGTGAGAAAAGGGCACTCCAGGTAGAGAACAGAGGGGCAAAGGAGGAAAGAGGCAAAGAGCTGAGTCTGTGTAAGAGCAGGAAATGCCCTCTCTCAACCCCCTCCTGCAGTACTGGGGGCTGGGAGGGCAGAGGACCAAGGCCTGTGCACCGTGCAGGGGGTTTGTCCTTCATCCTGGAGGAAGTGAGGGGCCACTGGAGGGTTTAAGCAGTGACCATACACCAGAGAGAGGGCTCCTGTCTCCAGGGCTCTTTGGGTCCTTAAACGCAATGAGGTTGGGGGCTGGTCCTCTCTCCCTGGTGCATTAGCAGCCTTGGTCCTGGGAGCATGGAGGAGAGAGTCATAGCTGGTTAAAGCTGTCTGTAGCCACCAATGCTGAAGCTCCTCCATGCCAGGATCTGCTGCCGATGGGGAGCTTAGCCCGGCCTGGAACAGTGGATGGAGAAAGTTGGGTCCTTGACTCCCTCTTCAGTGCTTGAGTCTTAAGAGAGCTCGTTCTGGGGAGACCTCCCTCTTCCATGGCCACTGCTGCCCTTGAGGGATTGTGTAGCTGGTCAGCAGGGAGGGTCTCACGGGGCCTCCTGCCACTCCCTTCCCCAAGGGCTGGGTCTGGCTGAGAATCACTCCTTATTCCCTCCTGCACCCAGCCCCACCCCCTTCAGCCACCCATCCTCCTGCTTGGGCGGGCCCAGGGCTGGGTGGAGTGGGCTCCCAGAAGTGCACTAGATGAGCTCAGGAATGAAGCTCCATGGGCACGAGGGCTTCACGTTGTGCCCCCAGCACCCAGAATAGTGCCAGGCATGTAGGTGGCACCCAGCAAATACCCGCAGTTGCATGGATGAAGGTGGCATAGTACAGTGCTTAAGTGTACAGACTGGGAGTCAGACCGCCTGGGTTCACATCCCCCCTCTGCTAATTAGTTTCTGGGTGGTCTTAGGCAAGTGATTTAATTTCTCAGTGCCACAGTTTCCCCATCTGTAAATGGGGACAATAATAGCACCTACCTTAGAGGATTCTTGTGGAGATTAAATGAGTGAATACATGTTAAACCCTCTCAGTTGACAGTTAACTATCAACAGTAATTGTAACAGCTACTATAGAACGATTGGTCTAGGTTTCAGCCACTCTTCGGATAAAGAAGGAATGGAGGTCACATCCTAGTTCAACAGCAAGTCCCCGGGACCCCTCTTTGCAACATTCTCCAGCTTTGCCTCTTTTCTCTCTGAGCCCTGGTTCTCTTCTCTCCACTTCTGGAGACTGGGTGTTGCCTCCTCCCCATTCTCCCTGCCGAAGTTTCTTCCCACCCTGAGCCCTCCTGCGTTTCCTTTCCAGACTTAAACACTGTTTTCTTCACCTCCCTCCCCACTGAGGAGCCTATGGGGGCTCCCAGCTGGCTGTCACCATCAGCAGAGTGCTCTCTACTGCTTGGGATATCCCCATGCCCTCCTCCGTGTGCCACAGGGACAACTAGGGACTGAGCCAAACCCGTCACTGTGGTTAGGGACCTTCCCGAGATGACTAGAGAGGATGGGAAGGATTGGGCCTAGGGCCCACCAGCTGTTGGGACCCAGTGGTCACATTGGGTCTGGCTAAGAGACAACCCTGCCCCCTGCCCCCAGGAGTCAGGAGGCTCCTCATTCTGCCACCAAGTTGTTATGTGACTTGAATCAGGTGCTGCCTCTCTCTGAGACTCAGGTGCAACACCTCTGAAATGAGCACTATCTGTGACATGCTCCAATGGGCCATGGGGTGGGCCAGGCAGGTCTGCTGTCGGGCTGTGGCTGACATCCCCACAGCACTGAGGAGGTCTTATTAGATGCTGTGGACAGTCCTGGGCCAACCGACTGCCTCCCCTCCAAGGTGGGCTTCTGCTGCAGGACCCTGGGGCCAGAGCAGGGCAGCTCCCTTCCATGAAGGCTGCCCAAGAGCTGGATGGGCGGTAGGAGGAGCCGAGAGTCGGGTCCAGGGAGAGCCACTCTCCCCAGCCGTCCGCCCAGTGCAGCTCTCTTTAGAGCTTTTGCTCACACCAAACTCCTCTCCTCATATTCCTCAAACAGATCCTTCAATTCCCAGACTCCAAGCCTTCGCCCTCACTGTTCCTTCTACCCAGAGTACCCTCTCCCTCTATCTCAATTGTGAAAGTCCTCCACATCTTTCAACACCCAGCTCTAACGCTGCCCCTCCATTAATCCCTCCCACACCCCACCTTCCGAGCACTTGGTGTGTTCATTTCCTGTCTCCACACCAGTTTCCAGCGTCTCCTCATAACTGTTCTCCCAAAGCCGAGCACAGAGAAGAGGCCCAGGCTGAGAAGAAAACTGCCTTTTCCCGAGTGAAGGAGAAGAGGACAGGGTGAGGGGAGAGAAGGTTGGAGTGGGGGAAGGGCAGTTAATAATAATAATTATTATTATTATATATTTAAAAATATATATTGAATTCTTATCTTCACTTTACAAATGAGATGATGAGGCCCAGAGAAGCTAAGTAACTTGCCCCCCCCCCGCCCCCCCCCCGCCCCAGGATTCAAACCCAGACAGCCTGCTCCAGAAGCCAGGCTCTCAACCATGAGAGAGATGGAAGTTGGAGGAGGAGGGGGAAGAAGGAAGGGAGGCAGGGAGATGAATGAAATTCCACCCTATTGCTGGTTGATGTATGACCCAGCCATGAAGTGAGGGCACTGAGGTGGGTGCCAGCATTGAGTGCAACCAAGTGACAGATCCAGGACCTGCCAACTTGAAGCAGAGAAGCACCTGCTCCAGGTGTTACCAGGGTACTCTGGCACCTGGCCTGACCTGGCCCCCTGAGAGGGTGGGCTGCAAATGCCCAAGGGTATTCAGGAGCGGGCATCGGGGTGCTGTCCTGCTGGGCACCAGCTTCAGGATCACTTGAAGCCCCTTCTCTCTAGCTCTTTGGAGATGGGTCAGGGCTTCCCCTCACCCTAATACCCTCCCTGGGGCCACTGATTATAAGCAGAGGCAGCAAACGGGCTCTGAGCTCTACCTGTCCTGCCATCGAACATGTAGAGGTTGAAGCCCTCTGCCCACCTCCATCCTCTGCCCTCTCCCATACCCCCAGCATAATCAGCTCGGCTCTGTTTAGTTGGAGAGCCTGGCTGCACCCTCTTTGTCCCCCAAGTCACAGGAGTGACATCTGGGCAGGCAGAGAAATGGTTACACTTGGAGTGCTCACAAACAAGACACGCAGACACCCCGAGGCCAGGGCGCACCACCCTGGGCAGGCCTTCGGCCAAGCTCCCCAACTTGGTCCCTTCCACTGGAAGCAGGTTGGTGAGCGACTAGAGGGCTAGGTTAACTGTCCGTGGGACCCCCATCCCTCCCAGTCCCCAGCCTTCAAGGACTCTCAGAGGCTTCCAGACCCACAGAGAGACAGAAGTCAGACAGACAGACAGGACAGCAAGAGACAGACCCAGGGCCTGAGGCCAGGCGGGGGCTCACCAGCTGGAGCGCAGGCGGTCGGGGGCTGGGACCGGGTTGCCGAGGCCAAGCAGCGGTAAGCGGCCTCCTGGGGAGCCCGAGGCCCTTTTATCCGGCGGCGGCCAGCGGGCGCCCCCCACCTAGCGGGCCGGGAGGAGGCCCCGCAGGCCCCGCCCCCGGGCGGACCTGGCCGAGGCGGGCGCCCCGCCCGGCCTTCCCTTCGGCCCCGCGCCCCCGTGGGACGGGTGCCAGGGCGGCCGCACCCCCGCCCCTCGCAGCCCCGCAGACCCCGGGGTCCGCCGCCCGCGGCCCGGGAAGTCTCGGGGTCGCGAAGTTGCGGGGGGTCGAGGCGGGGCAGCTGTTTTCCGTGGAAGAAACTGGCGCCTGCAGCAGGAGGGCCCGTGGGAGGATCAGGGTTCCCGGAGAGCCTGGCGGCCAGGCGCCAGCGGGCTACGTTTGCCTGGAGCGCCGCTGCGGCCTCGTGAGTCCCTGTCTGAGGCGCAGTTTCCTCCTCTGCAAAATCGGGTGACATGCCCCCTGGAGAGTTGACCTGGGGATTACATTACTGAATCGCGGAAGGTGCCAGTGCCACAGCGCAGCGCCCTTCACGGGAAGCGCCTCCCTGCCCGGGGGCCCCAATCCTACGGGCTGGGTTACCTAGCACAGCGCAGACCCTTCCGGGAGCGAGCAAGGGGCGGAGGGGGGCTCGGTTCAATTGAGGTCGGGTTGGTGTGGTGCAGGTGTCTTCTCTTTAGGGCAACAGGGGTCCTCTCCATTGCCCTGGTCCCTCCAAGTTCGCTGAGTACTATGTGGGTGAGAGGCCTCTGTTCTGCCCATTGTACAGTTGGAAACACTGAGACTCAGGAGACACGACTTGCCTCCCCAGGTAATAACCAGTAAATGGAGAACTTCGATCCTCTGCCGCAACCCCTTACGGAGTGAATGAGGCAGTCCTGGCCCTTCACAGGCTCATGGGGGGAGGGGGCGTGTGGAGGGTGGAGTGGGGGAGACTGTGGAATAAAACAAAGTAGAAAAGGCTGAAAGACTGGAACCCCATCAGCTAAGTTGGGCACCCAGGTGCCTGAATCCCAGCCCCTTTCCTCCAGATTCTTTCCCGCAGTCCTGGTCCCTCCCAGTGCCTCAGTGCTCCTGTCTGTAAAATGGGCAGAGTTCCAGCCTGCCAGCTTCCTCCCTAGGCCCAGATCAGTACAGCCTGGTTCCCCCTCTTCCTCCCACCTTGCCCGAGTGTCTTCCAAAGGCTCATTCATTCACAAACCGTTATTGATTTTCTCCTACATGCTAGACAGGGTGCTGGAGTGCTAGACACTGCAGGGGGTGGCTGGGAGGGGGGCCTTCCCAGTCTGCTGGGGGAGGCAGACGTGTAAACAGACGCTGCCACGAGGCAGGATGTGATAAGAGCTAGGATGGCAAGGTGGACCTTTCTGACCCCTGGGTGATGGTCACACTGACCCGGCTGCTGGAGGACTACTGTCCCACTGGCCTCCCATGTCCCAGATGTCCCCCCAGTGCCCCTGCCACGCCCCAGCTGGGCCCAAAGCATTCCCCCTGATGAATCAACAGGAAAGAATGCTCCCAGCCTTGGGTCAGTGGCAGCAGCAGCAGCCCAGCTCCTCCCCCAGGGACAATGAGGCAGCTGTGGGCCGGGGTGCCAGGTATGCCTCGGCCCCCTCCCCATGCCCAGCCACCTCTCATGCGGAGCCAGGAACAACACGGAGGGCTCGGAAGACGTAGGCTCCACCTGCTGCCAATCACCCACCGGGGCCTGGCCGCCCAGAACTAAAAATACCCTGGAGCCTGGGGGCTGGCCTGGGCTAGCGCCCAGAGAGTGAATCGACATTGCCCGGAAGTCCTTTAAGCTGTAAGACTCCGGGCAGAGGCTGAGGCTGGGGAGCAGTGGAAGGAGGGATCTCCCCCGGGGTCACTGTGAGCTCCCTCCTTGAGAAGTGAGAGGCTCCTTAGCAGGCCCAGACCCCCCCATGACTTACTAGCAGTGGGATTTTCTCAGCTGAGTGGCTGTCTCCTCATCCTTAAATGCTATTGCTGTGGGGCTCACATGGGACAGTTCAGCTCATCTCAGTGAGCTTTGACTTGATGGAGACTGCCTGCTTTCTTCTTCGTGCATGACTGTGCTCACAGCCTCGGCCACCCCCAGACCCTCTGCTACACTCTTGATATACAGGTCTGTGTCCACCTGGACTCTGGGGGCCCCTGAACTTCTTCTTTACCTCTAAACCCAGATTCTATCGCAGGGCTTGGCACATGGCAAGTGCTCAGTAAGTGCTGGAGAGCTGAATAAATGGGCCTACTTTGAGCTGGTCCTTGGGCCAGAGCTGGGGAGACACAAACAAGCCAGATGTGGTCCCCGTCCTCAAGGAATCTGAAGAGTGGTGGGGGAGACAGACCCCCAGTCAACCAACAGATGAAGCATCATTGTCATCATCATGCAGGTGCGGAGCAGTTGCTCTCTCTAGCACCTCATTTAATCCTCTTAAAATTCCTATGGACAATACTTTCATCACCCTCCTTTTACAGATGATGAAACTGGGGCACAGAGAGATTAAGTGACTTGGCCAAAGTCACACAGCTATAATCTGCAGAGGGTGGCAAGTGGTAAATGGGAGTGGAAGCACAGGGCTGTGGGTATAGAGGAGGGAAGTCTGAGGATTGAAGGCTTCCTGGAAGAAGTGTCTTGAAAGATGGATATGACTCACCATATAGAGAGGTGGGAAAGTGGGCTGGTCTGACTAAAGCTTTGGAGCCATGGAGCACTGTAGAGCTGTCAGGGGCTATCCCATCTCCCTTCTCCCCTCACCCAGTCCTCAAGGCCCAGGGTATAAGCATCACCATCTGCCCGCCTCTCCCAGGGTGAGCTGAGAAGCTGAACAGTAGCGAACACAAACTTCTTCCACAAGGGGTGTTTCTCAACCCTGCAAGGTCAGGGCCTGCATTCCTCCCAAGGGGGAAGGCCAGAGTCTCCTGCAGAGAGCTGTGACCTAGCACATGGCCAGCAGCACCCGGGGAGAACCTGGCTAGAGAACTCAGTACCATGCCTGTGGGGCAAACCTTCCTTCTCAGTGGCCTTCAAGACAGTCCCGCCCCACCTCCTTTGAAACTCAATATGGAGGAAATTGTACAGCTGGGAATCGGGGGACCTGAGTTCTAGTTCTGGCTTTCTGAGCTATGTGGCCTTGGGCAAGTCATTTTGCTGAGCCCGAGATCCTGCATCCATTTGTCCTGCCTTTGCACCTCTGCCCCTCTGACATCCAAGGGCCAAACTGCTCTCCTCTCGTCCCTGCATCTTGGCTGTCCCGACTTCAGTAAATCCTGTGCAGACTGATCTTCCCGACGTGTTGTCATGCCCGAGCTCAAGAATCTTCAATGGCTCACTGTTACCCACAGAATATGGAGAATCCACTGTTGCTCTTCCTGTTCCTCTACCCTTTTCCTCTTCTGACTTCATTTTCCATGTTCTACCTATCCTTCAGGCCTAACAGATTCCAACTCCTCTTCGAATGCGTCCATGAAGCTGGTGTGAATACTTTCAAAGAGTCACGGAGCTGAACGGGACAGTCTCTGCCCTTTGATTGCTCACCACCCAGTGGGAGAGATGACTCAAAGACACAGCAGTGATGGAGAGGAGACTGTGATAACAGAAAGCAGGACAAATTGTGGGGGGCGGGGGAGGTGGTGAGGAAGGGACCATTCCGACATAGGATGGGACAGGCTTTTCGTTTGCTGAGAGCTGTTTAACCAGGCGCAGGACTTTCGTTCAGAGGGGGCACAGGAGCTGAGGGGATTCTGAGAAGTCTTGGGGGTGGCGGAGTGAGTCAGTGCATGTAGCAGGGCTGGAGAGGCTAGCCCGGGAGATGGTTCCTGGGGGGAGAGGAGAGATGAGCTGGCTGCAGTAGGGAGAGGAAATCTGGGGGAAGAACAGAGCCCGTTACTAGAAATTTTAGGAAGTTTTGCTTTGTGATGTGCACTGTCACCTTCCCCCTGTTCCTCTGAAACCTTCAGAAGACTCTCCATTACTCAATAACGTTTGGAGTTGGACAGGCCCCCCCCAGTATTCGCAGGGCCTGGGCATGAGTCAGAGGGGGTCTCATGCTGTCCGTGTAAGTGTCTAAGAGTTAAAGATCAAACGAACTCGTTGTTAGATAACACGTGGTCTGTCCTCCTGCCTTGACAAAGACACCTTCAGAAAGAGCTGGAAGGCCAGGTTTGAATCTGGAACTTTCCACTCCTTGGGGTTCTGTGTGAACATGTTACAGGGAGTGTCTACCCCTGGCCCTGAGCCCCACTGGGCCCCCGCCTCCCCCCCAACATCCCACACAGCGAGGTGCCTTCTGCTGTGAGAGGAGCACGCACGCTCCGGGCTCTGTGCAGATCTCCGCAACAGCCGCCCTTTGGCTCCCGAGCCTGGGTGCACAGGCTGGAGGCACAGCCTGCTCTCAGGAGGAAGGGCTGGAAGCAGGCTCCTGCCTCCCCGGCAAGGAATTCCTGGAGCAGGGGTCTGGAAATGGGATTGGGGCTCGGGGGGCGGGGGGCACATCCTCTTGGCCCTGTGGACTTCGTGCCCCCACTCCATGAGGGGTGGGTTTGCTTAGAGCTGGGCGGTAGGAACCTTAATCTTGCCTAGTGCCGTCTTGAGCGGGTACAGTGGGCCTGCCGTACCGACGGTTCCGCATTCGCAGATTCAAAGGCCTGCGATGATTGCGTCTGTGCTGAACATGTACAGACTTTGTTCCTTGTCACTTTTCCATAAGCAATACAATACAACAACTGTATACATAGCATTTACACTGTATTAGGTATTATAGGGAACTGGAGATGATTAATCTACACGGGAGGACGTGTGCAGGATATATGCAAATACTACGCCCTTGCATATAGGGGACTTGAGCGTGGATTTTGGTATCTGCAGTGGGCCCGGGACCAATCCCCCCCATACCGAGGGAAGACCGTATTTACCTCTTCATAGATTCATACCCTTGGGAGGGGGGAGCAGGGTCTGGGAAGTGGGGTGTTTTGGGGGGAGGACAGGGAGGATCCTAAGAACCTATAGCTGGCAAGGCAGAGAGCCCAACTCAGACACCCCCATTTCTGTCCCCGCCCTGGGATCCCTAGCACAAAGGCCCT